AACTTTTTAAAACTTTTAAAAAATGAACTTTCTCTAATTTTATTTCAAATGTTTCATATTCACTTGCTACCACTTAGGTTTTGCCTTTTCATTTTAATAGAGAATGTCGAATATTTTCAAAGAAAAATACCTTTCTGAAAGCAAAATAAAATCATTTTAATTTTGTATATTTAGACTTACTTTGTTTTTTTATGAAATACGATTAGATTTCAGACACCTCAAATGCAGTTACATTTTTTAAAAACTCCTTTAGGTCATTACTATAAGAAGAACACAAGTTACATGAAAACCTGATTATAACACAATTTGGGATTTTGCTGAAGAAAGCAATAAAAACAAATTTTACAAGGTAAATGTATAAGAATGTGTGACGTACATATGTCTTTATTTTAGGACTCATTCAAACATTGCCAGCCCATAAACAGCACACCCAGACACACAAAATAGTAATGATACTTCAACTCAATCAGCTCAGACATATTTCTGAATTTCTAGTTGTATAAAAACCGTGGCTTTCCATATAATTCCTTATTTTGTTGTTAGGAAAGTATCCAAGGGCTGTCCGGAAAGTATCCAGCCATTGTCCAAGTAAGGAGAACGTGCTTTATTTTCTAGATTGTTGGCTTTGATCAATAACTTTTAAATCTTCAGGCACGTGGCACGAGGGCCCCCCCATGGACTGGTGTCTGAGACCCCGCAAATATGAGGAGTGAACTTGACCTCCCCAACTAGAAGGGGCTCCTGAGGCCTCTAGGAAAGTGGGGGGTCCGGAGAGCCAGGCAGAAAGGAGCTTTGAGGGGTGGTCCCAAATCTGCGTTCAGTGGTATCCCTACTACCAACAGCAACAACGACAGTGAAAGCGCTCAGCCCGTGCAGGCTACTCCCTGCGCACTCTGCAGGGCTGTTTTGGAAACTCCCCCGGCAACATTAGGCGGCGGAAGCTGCGTCGCCCCCACAGTGCAGGTGAGGAAATGGATGGGGGAGTTAGGCCATTTGCCCAAGAGCGCCCAGGGGGCCGGCAGTGAAGCCAGCTGTGGGACCCCAGAGCCACAGCACCGTCTCCATCACGACATCCCCCACACGCACCTGCACGCACAGTGGCACCCACCCCAGCAAAACTCACAGGCGCTCATGCCACACCTGCCTGCACCTGCCACCAGCCTTCCCTCCCCCCACCTGCTAACCTCCCTCCACCCCCGTACCTCCTCTCTGGGGTCAGACCGCTGCACCCAGCAAGGCTCAGGGATGCACTCACCATCCCGCCTGGGCTCTGCTCCCCACCCTGGGGGCTCCCAGCACCGTCTGCTCTTGTCATCTGATATGTGGGGGGCACCCGGGCCTGTGCCTCTGGCCCCTGCAGAGCCCTGCCAGCTGGCCGCCCCTCCCCCGCCGGTTCTCCTCCTGCTCCTTCTGCTCTCCGCAGCCAGGCCCGTCTTTCCCAAACGCAGACAGGAGCCCTCTCCTGGCGTTCCATTGCTCCCTGGAGAAACACCACCCAGGCCCCGCTGTGCCATCGTACAAGGACATCAGCAAGCTTCCACGAGATGACACAGACCCACGCCACAGATTCCTGTTCTTTACTCCCCATCATGGCTGGGAGAGCCCAGGTGTGATGGCAGCTGTCCCCGCTGGAGGAACAAGTCTCCCCCCTGGCCGCTGGGTGCCCACAGAGGATCCCCACTGCCGGGAGCAATGCTGGGATGACAATACCACAGGGTCTGTCAGAAAAGTGCCTCATTCTCATGGAGGACTCATCACCCTCATCACCACTCCGCAGACTCCAGGCCACCCTCCACCAGGCTCAGGCAGAAGGCTTCCTGTGGGGTTAATAGGCGGTCAAGGTGCCAGAGGGTCAGCTTCCCCGCAAATCACGCCCTTCAAGGCCCACCCACCACCAGCCCCAGGTACTTCAGCTTCCTTTCAGCCTTTCCCAGGTACCACTCCCCCCCCCTCAGACCACAGGGCCTTTGCACAAGCCGTCCCTCTATTTAAACTCTCTCCACTTCCCTCTCCACCTAGTTAACTTCTTGAGATCTCTGCTCCATCATTTCTTCCACAGAGGGGCCCTCACTAATCCCTTGCCCAGATCAAACACCCCCATTAAACACTCGCATAGCCCCATGGAAATTTCTAGCAAGCTATTTATCCCTATGTGTAAGTATCCATGCAGTATGTGTGACAAACACCTGTCTCCCCCCTGGAGTATAATCTCCCTGAGGGCAGGAACCTCACCGGGTTTTGCTCTCTAGTGTGTCCCCAGCACACAATAGGTCCCCAATATGGTTTATTGACGCCAGAGCAATGGATACTTCTGGTAATAATGTTACCCCTCTCTGCCCAGAGAGGCCTGTGGGACCCTGAAGCTTTGGGGGGAAGCAACACAAAGCCTGTGACAGCACAGCATGACAGCGCAGGGACTTAGCAAGTGGTAGTCCTTTGTTTTGCCATTTTTATTGTTAGGGGGACGATGGTGACTGTGGTGGTGATGGTGATGATGAGTATGGTGATGATGATGATGGTGACTTCTTGCTAAAAGAAACGTTCACACCGAGAAAAAGAAGACGTTGCTGAGAGGCTGGGCTCTGTTCCCTCTACCCCCCTCCACCCCAGCCACCCTCCATCCTGAAAATCTGTCCACCGGGGACAATAATCCCCTGGCAATGCTGGGGGCCCTGGCCCAGCTGCACGCTATAGCCCAGCTGGGGGAAGTGCTTGAGCTCCTGGAGCAGCTGCCTCCTCTGCAGCCAGGGGAGGGGCGGGGGAAGGGACCCAGCATTTATGGGTTCCTTTTATGGGCAAGGCCTCCTGCCAAGGGCTTTACACATCTCATTTCCTTTTCATCTGCTCTACAACCCTGAAAGGTCAGTCTAATTATCTCCATTTTATGGATGACAACGCTGGGCTCAGAGAGGTGACGGGACCAGCCAAGGCCACACAGCCCCTAAATGGAGGGGCTAACACCCAAGCCCTGGGCTCACTGGTCCTTTCTACAGCATGCGTACGGATGGGGTGAAAACCATAAAACCATCTTTCCCAAATGTCTGCAACTATCCCCCAAGTCCAAGTCCTACCAGCACTCTGGCTTCAAACCTCAGCTGGGAGCACCTCCACCTGGAAGCCTGCCTGGTTTTACCCACCTGGCTCTGGGCCTACTGTCCGCCACTTTCTGCCACAGGTACAGACCCACAGGGGCTTGCAGCGGCCCCAAACTGGCCAGGCCAGGATTCAACCTGGGACACAAAAGGCATCATCTCAGAAACCTGTGCCTTCCCAGGAAACACCCCTCGTGCTGCGGCAGGAATGGCTGTGGGCCAAACCTCCCAGGGAATCAAAGCTAATTTTCGGTTGTTTGGGGAGATAGCTCCTCAGTGACTCACTGTTTGGATTCTCATAATCCACGCCAGGAGCCAGGGGCTGCCAGGAGATGCCCTTGTTAAAATCAAAAGGAAACGGTGAGCAAAGTTCTCCCTGCTCAGGAGACGGTGACTCACAGCTGCTGGGGGACCCTGGGCAGGTGGACTCCCCTCTCTGGCCCCAAGTCTTCTCTGAAGTGGGCCGAGAGGAGCCCAGCATGAGAAGAGTCCCAGGAGGAATTATTAGCAGGAAATGAATGGGAGGGGCAGGTGTTTACTGGGCTTTACTCTTGTGTTAAAAACCTTTCATCCCAAATCCCAGCCCCAGGATCCCTCCCCTCCCTACTCCAGGGCGAACCCTGCCCGGAACTCTACCCTCTTCCCCGGGTGGGGTGAAGGAATCTGGGTCGGGGTTCCTTCCTGTCTGGGTAGGAGACCCAGCCTTGGCCGGCTTGGCCTCTGCAGGAAGGGAGGCTGACGCTGGCGGCTAAGCTCGGGGCCGCAGCATGGCTTGTCACGAGCCCTGGCCGCTTTTGCCTTCGTGGGTCCATTCCTCCATATTAAAAAATATATTAACAATTAAATTTTATGACTGTATTGGTTTGAAGGTAAATATAATCCAGGCTGGATTATACTCATTCTTCTTCTGATTTTATGAGAAATAAAAACATTTTGGGGGGGGCCTCTAAAAGTATCCTTGGTCTCAGCATTGCACCTCCTGTGCCCCATAGATAAGTCAGCCCTGGTTGGGCCATCTGGGCCCAAATTCTGGCTCACCTTTTCCTTAAGCATGTGCCTCGGTTTCTCCCTCTGTAAAATGGGTGTGATCGTAGGACTCGTGCCATGGGGCTGTTTGAGGGCCCGCTGTGATCTCGCTTGCGAGGGGCTCGGCACGGCGCCTGGCACGTAGAAGCACTGGGCGAGGGTTAGCTGCCTGGTCGCACAGGAGTTTTCCATCCTCCTGGGAAGGAGGCGGGGGATGCCTTCCATGCCCATCATATGGACAGGACCACCGAGGTCCCAAGTAAGCGAAAGCACCTGCCCGAGGCCACGCCGTAAGTGGTGGAACCAGGACTCCAAGGCCACGGACCCAGCAGCTCCCGGGCCCTGAGCCCTGACGGACGTGGCCGGCCAAGTTATCCTGGCCACATATCAGGACAGGGAGGATGGCAGAGGCGGGTGGCCGGCCAGGGCAGGGGCATCCTCAGTTCTGCCTAAGCGGAAACACAGAAACAGGACAGCCGTGGCCCTTGGCACTTGCAGGCTGTGACAATCGAAGTTTCTCGGCTACTCTGGGCCCCGGTTGCTGCATCAGTCAAGTAGGGATGAGGGAAAGGTACCAAGAACGAGAAGCAACCCTGCACGGCCCCCGGCTCACAGCTCAGTCGTGCGGAGCGAGCCACAGGGCTGCCCCCATCCCCAGCACCACCCAGAAGCAGAGCCCACAGGCCCCAGCTGGCCCCTCCTCTGGGGACAGGGCCAAAGTGTCAGACCTGGAAGGATCATTGCATCACTGGACACTCAGGGGTTAATGACAGGGAGTGGACAGGACCTGGGTATTTAACTACTTGGGCGGCGCCCTGAGATCAGAGGTGCCCCTGCTGCTGTCCCCTGCTGGCTCCTCTGCCCCTCTCTCCTCCCCCCAGGATGAAGCCTCCCCCTGTCCTCACCTTCCTTTGCCTCCTGGGTAAGTGACCTGCGTGACCTTTGGCCTTCCCCAGGATGCCCCTGGGCCTGGCCCTGCAGAAGGTATGGTGGGTGCCAGACGCTGGAGGCCACCCCCTTTCTGCCACCAGGGTGGTCCCCAGCCAGTTCTGCCCTAGGTGGCAGTGGCGGTGGCGGGAAGGAGGGAGGGCAGAGGGGGAGGAGGTGCAGCCTGCACAGGGTGGGGGCGTGGGGACAGGGTTGGCAGATCCCCTGGGCGCACCTGGGGCTCCCTCCCCACCCTCACTTCCATTTCTGGTTCCAGCCTGCCTCGGTGGGCAGGAATTGGCCCCACTGCCAAATCAGGAGGGCCCAGGGGACATTGGGGAAGTCACCGGGGTGGTTAGCCTCCGATGAGAGTGGGGGGACAGAGTGCTCATGGGGGAACTAGTGGAGCCCCAGAAGGGCCGATGAGTGACACTCCGGGAGGTGACGGAGGGGGCGTTCAGGTGCAACGGTGTCCCCGGCCACGCTGTGACCTATCACCCCTGCTGTGAGAGGGCTGCGCTGCAGGGCCCAGCCCACCTGCGCGGGGGAGACACGCTGGAATCTGGAATGGGTTCGAGAGGACTCAGGAGCGCTGGCTGCGGAGGGCGGGGGCCCGAGGGTCTGGCAGTCCCGCCTTCCCTCCGCAGTGGCCCTGGCCGGCGGGAACCTGGTCCAGTTCGGGGTGATGATCGAGAGGATGACGGGGAAGTCGGCGCTGCAGTACAACGACTACGGCTGCTACTGCGGCATCGGGGGCTCCCACTGGCCGGTGGACCCCACGGACTGGTGAGGAGGCGGCCGGCAGGGCCCCTCTGGGCGGAGCTGGGGCAGCCCCTGGGAGGAGAAAGAGTCCGGGCACCTAGAAAGTGGGGGCTGGCCTTCCTCTGGGCTCCTGTGGGCTCCGGGCCCTGGCCCGACAGGCGCCCCCAGGCCGACCGCGCCCGCGCCCCTTGCAGGTGCTGCCACGCCCACGACTGCTGCTACGGGCGCCTGGAGAAGCTGGGCTGTGAGCCCAAGCTGGAGAAGTATCTCTTCTCTGTCGCCGGGCACAGCATCTTCTGCGGTGAGTGGACAGCCCTGGAGTGGCCCAGACACCCGGGGGGTGAGGCACCCTCGGGCCCCGTGCCCTGCAGGGCTGAGGCTGGCGGCTTTGGGGAGGGTGGTTCGAGTGGACGTCTGACCGCAGGCTGGGCATGGGCAGGAAAAGGGGCTCCATCCACTGTGATGGGGACAGGCAGAGGGCCCTGAGCAGACCCCCAGCTTTGGTCCCAACGGCCTCCAGCCTGGGCACAAGCCACTCCAAGGCACACACAGGCCATCCGGATAGGGCTGCTGTCGTCTCGTAGCTTCCTTCTGCTTGATGGCCGCAACCCCCCATCGGCAATGCACCGCACCTGGGAGGGAGCTGCCTAGACACCCCCCAGGGCTGGGGGCAGGTGAGAGCCAGTGAAGCAGGTGGCCTCCCTGGGGCAGTCAGGTGGGCTTGGGAGGGAAGGAGCGACAGCGAGGACAAACGTCCAGCCTGCCCAGTGTCCTGGGCCCCAGCGTGCCCTGCCCTTGCCTCTCACCGTCCCTGAAACACCGTGAGCATGGCCCCCATCCCATGGGGCTGGGAACGTGGGCCCACGAGCAGCCAGGAGCTGTCCTGTCTGTGTCAGAGAGTCCTGACCCCCCACGGTCCCTGACTCGCTTTGTCCCACCTAGCCGGCAAAACCGCCTGCCAGCGGCAGACCTGCGAGTGTGACAAGAGGGCTGCCCTCTGCTTTCGTCACAACCTGGACACCTATGACCGCAAATACGCCCATTACCCCAACAAGCTGTGCACCGGGCCCACCCCGCCCTGCTAGGGCTGTGCTGGGCCTCCCCCCTGCCGCCCCCGGTCCCCCCCTCAAGCTGCTGTGGTCCCAGGCGAGGCCCTCCCTCTGGAAAATTCCTCTCCTGCAAACCCATCCCTCCCTGAGAGCTTGCAGACATGGCCTGGACCACCCTGGCCTCCCAGGCTACACCTGGAAGCGCCGTGCCCCAGGGGCCTGGCACCCTGTGGCGGCCACAAGACGCCAGAGCGAACTCCCGGGACCTCCGTCCCCTCTTCTCAATAAGTGAATAATGTTTCCCTATAGTTCTAATACGCTTAGATTCTCAGATTTCTATCACTCTAGGATTCAATTAGTCCTCAGTTTCATTTATTCTTTCATTCATTAACTTTTTCTGAGCACCCACTATGTACCAGGGACATCCTAAGTGCTGGAATACAGCGGGGACAGAGCTGACGTGGGCGGCTCCGCCTGCACTCCCAACGTGAAGTCCTTTTCATTTCCCACGACTGTAAGTTTCTGTGATTCTCTTTTTTGAACATTCTGTAATACAGTCTTGTCCAAGATAACAATGGCAATCTCTGGAAGGAGTCACTTTGGCCATATGCCTTAATGTGAGAAGCATGAGAAACACCAACCTAAAAATATGGTCCCCACTGTGTCATCAGGACTCAAATCCCGACCAGTGGCAAAGACAGGTTAGACGTGAAAAGCAGTTCCACATCGTCTCGTCCAAACCCCTTGGTTGACAGGCATCTGGGGGCCAGAAATGCCCGAAGGGGACTCCTCACTCCCAGGCCCTTCCTTGCCTCATGCTCTGGTGTGGCCATGTTCACCAGACCCGCTAGCTGTCACCTTGGGAAGACCAGGGTGCCCAGGGCAAGCCACTGTGCGGACACACAGCTGGGTCAGCCTCCTGATCCAGGGAGAAAAGGGGGAAAGAGCTCAGCATCGTGGGCCGGACTGACACCTCCTGACTCCGCAGCCACGAAAAGCACCACGGACTCCCAGGAGGAGGAGCGCAGCCCGTCTGGAAGCAATATGGCTCCACAGACTTCACTTCTAAATACGGATGTGACATCTCCGTTATCTTTAATGCTGGTGAGATCTTACATTACGTCGCAGTGCACGAGCCACTCATCGAGACGAAGGGCCTGCAAATGCATTGCACAGGGCAAGCTCTCAGCGGACACTCGAGAACCGTTCGCTCCCTTCTTCTTCTTCATGGCATGTGTACGACATTCAGGACTTCCAGGGCAGGAAAGAGCCCGAAGAAATCAAAGAGGTGCATGGTCATGACCTTTAAAAGATGAACTCTGCTAGGAAAAGAAAGTGGGGTCGGGCAGGTGTGCGCGCTCTGCTGTCGTAACCGAATCAAATCCTTGGCTAAGAATCACTGCAAGACGTCTGAAAGCAAAAGTGGCTTGTGTGGGGGAAGCAGGTGGCCGCAGGCGCTGGGAAAAGTGGTCCTGAGGCGCCCTCTGGTGTCCATCCTGTGCAGGCTACTGGGCTGGTGCAATGGGTCCTCTTACATTTTCAATCATGAGTAACTGAGACATCACCAAAGGCCTCACAGCCACCTTAGGACGATGATGCTGCTGCAGCAACAGGCAACACAGGAAGGAGCTGTCTGGGCAGGATGAAGAGAAGTCACATTCTGGACATGATGGGTTTAAAGTACCAATGAGACAAGTACCTGGTGACCTCACAGTTGCATAGCTTTCTGACAAAGTGAAAATCGGAACTTAGGACTAATACCCCAGTGCAGCCTGTTGCAACCCCTGCCCCTGCTCCAACCCACCAAACCTGGCTATGAGTCCTTTGGCCACAGATCAGCTCTCATCCTTTGCTTTCCCAGGGCTCAATAAATGTTCAATGCATGAATCAAGCAGTCTGTCTAGATTCTGTTTGCACGCATGTGTGTCTATAGTCCAGTCACTTAATTCCCAGCAGCAGACTTGTGAAAAGGACTAAAAAAGGAAAGGAGAACCCTGACCTTGAAATCAGAGGTTCGGGGTACAGACACTCGCTCTGCCACTTAGCAGCAGTGGGGCTGCTGCAGAGCCTTGCTGCTCAGCGTGGTCTATGGGCAGTGCGGCAGCAGTGGGGGTCTTATTGCAAATGTAGAATCCTGGCCCTGCCCCGAGACCTGCTGAATCAGTATCTATAGGTTAACAAGACCCCCAGGTGATTCGTGCGCACATTAAAATCTACAAAGTGCTAATAAATGCCACAGCCTCAGTCTCTACCTTTGTCAAATGGAACAATGACACTTCCCTGGCAGGTTGCTTGTGGCAAGCTTTGAGTAAGTTAGCATGTGTGAACGTGCGCAAGTAATGCCTAGCACAAAATAGGCATTTATTTGCATTCTCTGGATGAATCAATGGTAGTCGTAACAATAGCTAACATTTATTAAGCACATGGCATTTACCAGGCACTGTTGTGAGTGATTAGTATTAATTCATTGACTGAGTGAAGGAGGCAAGAGGGCCACAAGGCTGGGAAGGGGACACTTAGCTAGATGTTTCATAGCTTGCCTCTCTGGTTTTCATGGGTTCTACCTAGCAAGTTCTATGACAAAGCTAAGAAGAGAGTACCAAGACCGAATGTTCCGAAGCCCCCATCCTTCATCGTCTCCATCCTGTCCACTGATGCCAGCTTCCTTTCCCCACAGCCTGATTTTCATGTCACTCCTTTGCCTCTGAACCAACCATCAGTGGCTCCCGGTTGTCCACCAGCCCCGAGCATTCAAGGCTTGGTGGATCATCTGCTTTTCCAGCCTTTTCTTCAGCTGTATCTATTCACCTACGTGCCCACTGCTTTCCAACCCTCATGTCTTCATGACTGAAACCCACGGGCTTTAAGTGACTCTCAGATGCCACCTTTCCACGACGCTTTTCCAACTGGAGCAGATTTTGCCCTTCTCTGAGCTGCCAAGCAATGTGTTTACCTTTCCTAGTGCTGCTTACCCCAGTTATTTGGGTTCTTATACAGTGGAGACAGACTGCCCTGGGTTCAAATCCTGCCTCTGCTACCAATCCATGATCTTGGGTGGTTATCGATTCCCTCGATTTATGTGTAAAATGGGAATAGAACCATTAGCCTCAGGGGATGGTGTGAAGGTTTAAATGGGACAATGTATTCAAAGAACCTGGGCAATATAGACCCTCCATCCACGCCATGCCAGGTCACCTCCTATATTTTTGTTCCCCTACTGCATTCGTCACACAGTAAATGCTAAATATAAACAAGTATCTGTTCAATTGAAGCCATGGGTACAAGACAACTGGGATTATTTTAGGGAAGTGGCATCACACATATGATAAGTTGCTGACTTACTTGGACAGCCTGTTGGCTCACTACCTCTCAGCACTGCTCATTTACCTTAAATGGACACATCTGGAAATCCACGGATTTTGCTTATGCTGGTTCTTCAGCCCAAAATGCCATCACTCCTTATCTCTGCACCCTACCTCCCCTCTCATGCCTAGTCCAAATGTCACTTCCTCCACCAGGCCTACCTTATTTCCCTGAACTTGCAGGACTTTCAGTATCTCCTTTAGGGCACGTGTTCTCCTGGATCAGGTCACACTGGATCAGAGCTAAATGTCCACTCTCCTTCCGGGACTGTTGAGGGCAGGGTCCGTGACTGTTCCAAAGCCCAGAAATGAGGACCCACACCTGGAACTTCAGCGAATGAGGGGTTCTTGGACATTTGGATAGGAGAATAAATTGAATAGAAACGGAATTACCTGGAGATATCCAAGTCCCTCTACCATAGGGAGATGCGGGTAAATTTCTCCGAGGTAGAAGATGTTTCCTTCTGCCAAGTCGGAATCACGAAGTGGCAGGACTCTCAATGCTTTTCAACCAGAAGTTCTAAATCTCTGCATCACTCTGGTCAGAGAGTACCCATTTTGTCCAGCAGTCCAGCCAAACCCATGTTGGAACAGGGCATTGTATGAACCGTGCTGTACCTCGAGCCACACCCGCTCTGCTTATGTGCATTGGGTTTGTGGTATTGTCTGGCCGATGAGTAACTCTGAACCCCTGGGGTTTCAACCAGGCTTCTCCAAGGCAACAACGAGCAGTTGAGTCCTCACAACACTTCCTTGCCCTTAAAGACTCATTCAGTCTCCCAGACAGCACCTTACAAGTCAACTAGTCCAGCTGCTGCCCAGGCAGGAAGCCCCTCTCACCCTAAGAAAGTGGCCACCTGGCCCCAGGTGAATCCTGAAAGGAATTAAGTTAGAGGCCAGGAAAGTTTTTCGGCAGGGTGGGGACAGCACCTAAATTGGGACATCACTTCGTCTCATAGCACGAAAAAACCTTACTTAGGTTAACAAGGTTCAGAATCCGGGCTCGGGGACTGGATGGTGTTTGTCCTCCCAGAGATGATTGGCCTCTCAGTGGTGGACTGAGGAAAAAGCACACAAGGAAGATAGTTTTAAGTGGCTGCGGGAGAATTTCCTTGCCAGTAGCCAGAATATTGTCTTTTATCCGGGAAACCATCCTACTCTAGGCGCCAATTCGGAAGGCTGCTTATCAAGTACAGAATTAGAAACAAAGAGTGGGAGTCTCAGAGTCAGAATCATGAGGACACAGTGCGGTCTGGAGAGTCAGCCCCACGACCTTTCGGCTGCCCAGAGTCCTTGTGCGGAAGCGGTGAGGGACTCCCCTCCCTCAGGGTTCCGTGGCTGCCCTTCCCCCTTCCTGTTTTGTGAGTCAGTGCCCAGACCACTGCCATGTGTGTCTGGGGGCGTGAGCCTCCTCCTGGAATGGGGTCAAACCGAGCCCCAGAGATCTAGAGGAACCCCAAGGCAGCAGCTGACAGACAACTGCTCCGTATTGAGACAATTTCAAATTATCAGAGATGCTCTTAGATATCCAGCAGAAATCGTTAAGTGTTCAGTCTTTCAGAATGGCTCTGTCGGTGTGTGTGATGGCTGTACTCCCAGCACGAAAGCTAAAATCAGCTGTCTTAGGCTCAGTCAGATCCCAAATGACTATACAATCAGAACACGCTGACACAT